GTGGGGTGGTGGGTTGCATGCACAGTGCTGCTGTGGTATGAAGCTGATGGTTATCTATTGCTTCTGAGTTTCCTCGAGCCATGTGTTACCATGTGTCGCCATGTCTTGGCATGTCTTGGCATGTCTTGCCATGTCTCTTCCACGTGTTGCCATGTCTCTTCCACGTGTTGCCATGTCTCTTCCACGTGTTGCCATGTCTCTTCCACGTGTTGCCATGTCTCTTCCACGTGTTGCCATGTCTCTTCCACGTGTTGCCATGTGCAGAACGACATTGGCAAGCGAACGGCTGAAACTCTTAAAGAGGCCCTTCATTTGGTTCCCGTAAGTTCACGTCACACATGTGCATGCCTTGCCATGCCATGTGCATGCCATGACTCCATGTGCATGCCATGACTCCATGTGCATGACGTACCATACCATATGCACACCACACCACACCATACCGCGTGCCTGTCATTCCATATTCCATCTCATGCGAATTGCCAGCCCATGCATACGCGTTCCTTCCTTCCTGAATAATACTTAGGCACCTCAAAACTCACCTCATATACATTCCTTTCGAAGTCTTTTTTTGAGAGAGGCTGTTCTTTACTCGAATGAATAATGGGTTTATAGCACCTGCTCGGGTTGATAGCACCTGCTGGGGTTGATAGCACCTGCTCGGGTTGATTGCACCTGCTGGGGTTGATAGCACCTGCTGGGGTTGATAGCACCTACCTACTGTCTGCTCTGCTGCAGCAAGATTGCTCTCCCGCATTTCATGTCTCCCAGGGATGGCAGGCCAGGCCAGGCCAGGGATGGCAGGCCAGGCCAGGGATGGCAGGCCAGGCCAGGGATGGCAGGCCAGGCCAGGCCACAGCAGCATAGCACAGGGGAAGAAGCTGCCTTCTGCCTCCTCCTGCAGTCGCGGCTGCCACTAGTGTGACAGATGGCTTTGCAGTGTTCAATTGAAGCAGTCGTTTCAGCAGGTTCCTCTCTCTGTTGTAACCCCTGTTGTTGTAACCCCTGTTGTTGTAACCCCTGTTGTTGTATTGTAATCCCTGTGTGTCAATCCAGGGATCGCAGCCAACGGCAGCACAGGGGAAGAAGCTGCCTTTTGCCTCGTCCACTGCAGCTGCAGCTGCCACTAGTGCGACAGATGGCTTTGCAGTGTTGAATTGAAGCAGGCGTTTCAGCAGGTTACTCTCTCTGCTGCAACTCCTGTTGTTGTAACCCCTGTTGTTGTGTTGTAATCCCTGTGTGTCAATCCAGGGATGGCAGGCAACGGCAGCACAGGGGAAGAAGCTGCCTTCTGCCTCGTCCGCTGCAGCTGCAGCTGCTGCCACGAGTGCTGCTGGCAGTGGCTTTGCAGCTATCAAGCACGCGTTCAAGCAGATAGTGCTCTCACGCATTCAGCCTGTGATCATGCGGCAAAAGGTGAGCGTGCATCGATTCTCCAGGGCCCGTGATGTCCTTGATTGAATGTTCTCGGAATGTTCAGTGCTTTGAAACTATGCATGGGCAAATGGCGAGTCGAGTTTTTTTCCCTTTGACGAGTCGATTTTTTGTTGTCAAAATGCTGACTCGAAACTTGGCCCCAAGGTCGAGTTTTTTGAAAACTCGGAGGAGCCTAAAAAAAACTCGTCCGAGTCAAGTAAAACTCGACTCGAATGTAAACACTACCCTAGCCTAAAACCCCAGCCACACGAAAACAGTTGTAGGGTGCCCAGAAAACTGCCACACGCGTCAACACCCACTAACGACCCAGCCAGCCTCACCTCTCCTCCCCCCTTTCACTTTCCAACCAAGCTACTCACCCCCACGCCAGCTGCACTAGTATTCACAATTAAGTGGTGGAACAATCCAAAACAACGAGTCACACCTCCAGCAGCATTTTAACCCAGAAACAGACATTTGTACCCCCCCGCGGTGGACCATTTGATGCACGCGTTTATTAAAACTCGTCTAGGTTAAACAAAATCCGTGATTGAAAACAAACTCGCGAGTTATGGAAAACTCGCCTGTCTAGCCGAGTTTTCCACGAGTTTTTTTAAACTGGCGAGTAAAAATCGACTCGTTTTCTCGAGATTTTTTTACCAGAATCAGAACTCGAAACTCGTTATTTTCGAGTACCTAAAACGAGTCTAGTAAAAACTCGACTCGTTTGCCCATGTATATTTGAAATCACTCATTGTTCAAGCAGACGTGTGCCCTCATGCATTCAGCCCGCTATTGCGCATCAACCCAATCCAACCCAACCCAACCCAACCCAACCGCACCATCAGGAGCACCATCGCATAAAAGGAGTGATCAAGAAGGCAGCACAGAGAGCAGGCAAGTGGGCCGCAGCCATGAGCACCAACAGCTGTTGCCCCGTCTATTGATCCCTCCTGCCAGTCCCTCGACCAACCTAATCCAAACCAACCCAACCCATCCGCACCAACAGGAGCACCATCACGTGAGGGGGGTGATCAAGAAGGCAGCGCAGCGAGCAGGCAAGTGGGCCGCAGCCATGAGCACCAAGAGCTGCCCATTCTTGCCCTGAATGCTCCCTGCAGCAACTACAGCTGTTGGCACCAAGAGCTGCCCATTCTTGCCCTGAATGCTCTCTTCTCTCCCCTCTCTCCTGTCTCTTCCTCTCTTGTTTTCTCCCAACCCAACCACACCGAACTGAACCCCATCAACAGGAGCACCACCACGTGAGGGGGGTGATCAAGAAGGCGGCACAGAGGGCAGGCAAGTGGGCTGCAGCCATGGGCACGAAAAGCTGCCCTCCCTGCCCTGACTGCTCTTTGCAGCAACAGCAACAGCAGCAGTTGCTGCTGCAGCTGCAGCGGCAGGGTGGGAATGGGAAATACACGGGGCAGCAGCAGCGGCAGGAGGAGGAAGGATTGGCAGAGATTGACTTGCGGTTTCCTTCAGCCTCTTCTGACTCCTCTGGATCTGCTCTTCGCGTCGTTGGACCGCTCTGCACCGCGTCAGGTTTCGTCGACTGCGGCTGCCCGTACGGCGAGTCGGGCAGGGTGGAATTTTCCGGGGGTCTGCCCGGGCAGGAGCGGCAGGAGGGTGAGGAGGGGGAAGGGGAGAAGAAGCCTCTGTGTGTGGATGGGAGTTCTCCAGGCAGATGGGCGGGGTTCGACCAATGGGAGGCCGACAACTGTCAGTACAGGTGGGTGGGTTGTGTGTTTGTGCTTGCCCGATTTGTGCTTGATATCAGTTTCCATGCTGCCCTGTATTGGTTTGACTTTGAGACGTATCAAAAATAACCTCATTACACTTGGTTTGACTTTTGAGAATCCTCAAAAGTCAAACCAACATGCTTGATACCAGATTCCATGCTGCCCTGTCTCCTCGCATCCTCCCCTACTCCCCCTTCTCCCTTCCCAGAAAATTCCCTTTCCCAGATCTGCTCCAGTGCCTGGGCACCAAGTGGGTGTTTTTGAGACGTCTCAAAAACACCCTCTCCAGACTTCCCTCTCCCAGATCTGCTCCAGTACCTGGGCACCCCCCCTCTTCCTTCCTCCCTCTTCCTCAAGCTCTTCCCCCGCCTTCCCCCCCCTTCCCCCCCCTTCCCCCCCCTTCCCCCCCCTTCCCCCGCCTTCCCCCCCCTTCCCCCCCCTTCCCCCCCCTTCCTCCCCCTTGCCCCCCCTTCCCCCCCCCTTCCCCAGGGACATCTTTCTCCCCAAGCTAAACCTATGCCAGGGCACCAAGTAGGTGCATTCTTCTTAACACAACTCCTCCCACCTCCCGCCTCCTGGCCCTGCATTTCGCCCTCACGCTCCCCCCCCACCCTCCCCCCTGCTTCTCTTTCTCTTCCATCAGAGACATAACACAACCCGAGCTACACCAGTGCCTGGGCACCAAGTGGGTGCATTTCTTTGGGGACCACACCTCCCGCCTCCTGGCCCTCCATTTCGCGCGCCTGCTGGGGCTGCAGAGGCAGGGCGGGGAAGGGGAGGACGGGGAGGAGGGGGGAGACGGGGACGGGCCGTTTGGGGGAGGCGGGGGAGGGGAAGGGGAGGGTGGGGCGGGAGGCGAAGGGGGAGAGGGTGGGGAGGGGTTGGGGGGGGAAGGTGGGGGAGAGGGGGCGGGGCCGAGAGGGCCTGGGGTGGCAGAGGGAGTGGAGGAGGAGGGGGACGGAGAGGGGGGTGGGGTGGGTGCTGGTGGTGCTGGTGGGGGGGGCAGGGGGCGGGGGGAGGTTACTGCAGATGATGTGGGGGAGGTGGTGAGACGGAGGAGAAGGCTGGCCTTGAGTACTGAGGCGTCTCAGAAGTCTGTGGTAGGAGATGGAGGGCGGGAGGAGAGTGAGGGGGGGCTCGAGGAATGGGGAGGGTTCGTGAGCAGTAGCAGCAGCAGCAGCAGCAGCAGCAGCAGCAGCAGCAGCAGCAGCAGCAGCAGCAGCAGCAGCAGCAGCAGCAGCAGCAGCAGCAGCAGCAGCAGCAGCAGCAGCAGCAGCAGCAGCAGCAGCATGAGCAGCAACATCAGCAGCAGCAGCAGCAGCAGCAACAGCAGCAGGCGGAGGGTACTAGCAGCAGCCACGGAGCTGGGGGGTAGTGGCAGGGGGGGAGGCGGGCCGAGAGTGACGTATCTGTTCCGTGGCAAGATGGCATGGCAGAGACACCCTGAGGTGGGTGCAGGCATGTGGTGGGTGCAGGCATGTGGTGGGTGCAGGCATGTGGTGGAGGGAGGGTTGAAGGCATGCTTGTGTTGATTTTGCTACTTCAAGCTTTCATTACCATGTCTTGAAGCTTCCTCGTTTCCGTCTTCCCTTCCACCTCGTCCGTTCTCCCGACATTCCCGGCCGCGCACACTGGAGCAGAGCGATTTGAACGACCAGTTTCTGCTCAACATGACGACAAAAGCAGGCGGGCGGCCCGATTTTATTGTGATGGGCGTGGGGGTGCAGGAGGTGATGGGGTGGGGGAAGAGACCCCCTCCTGATCTCGACTTGTCACGAATGCACCCGTTTTTCTTCCCCCTTGCTTGCTCCCCCGCCCTGCTCCCAACAACTCCTTTTACAGCCAGGCACGCCGGAGCAGCGCGATTTGAACGACCAGTTTCTGCTCAACATGACGACAAAAGCAGGCGGGCGGCCGGATTTTATTGTGATGGGCGTGGGGGTGCATGAGGTGATGGGGTGGGGGAAGAGGCCCCCTCCTGATCTCGACTTTGATGCGTTCCGGGAAGATACCGAGAAGCTTCTGGACCTGCTGAGGCGGACGTATGGAGGAGGGAAGGTGGTGTGGTGGAAGGCTAATGCCATCTGGCCAGGTGGGTCTCGGGTGGGTTTCAGGTGGGTTTCAGGTGGGTTTCAGGTGGGTTCCAGATGGGTTTTAGGATCGGAGAGAAGGTAAGAGACTTGGTTCTTTTTTCAGCGCCTTAAGGGGAGTATTTCCATCCCCACCGCCTTTTGAGGTGCAGCGCCACCCAAACAGGCATCCAATATTTTCCTGCTCTGTCTATGTTTTTTGTTCTCTCTTGTCGGTGTTTCGCATTCCGAGAGGCATCTCATAACACTGTACTGCTTTCTCCTGGAACTTTCTCCTTCATTTCCTATATGTGCAGGAGCCTTGCTGATGGAGGACTATTTTCAAATGAGGCAATACCACGAGCTTTATCAAGCGCACGCGTACAGAAGGTTCCAGGAAGCTGGTCATACTGTGGCTGACTTTTACCAGACGACAGAGGACAGACCTGAGCTGGTGGTTTCACAGGACGGGACTCGGTACAGGGGAGACGTCATCGCGTTACATGCAAAGATTATCGCCAATATCTTGTGCAACCGTCGATAACATATGGCCATGTAGTGGTGGCGGTCTTTCACCGCACCACCGCACAGAGGACAGACCTGAGCTGGTGGTTTCACAAGACAGGACTCGATACAGTGCACAGGTTATAGCGCTGAGTATTATGGCTAATATTCTATGCAGCCGTGGATAATGCCTGGCCTTGTGTGTTGGCATTTGCATGTAATAATAAGCACAGTTGCTTCACATGGCCTCCTCCCTCACCCCCTTTTACCGGTAGTACCGTTCCCCGCGTTGCGTTTATGCCAAGATGGTACCTAATGTCACCTGACTGAGTCGCATCACAAAGGCATGCCATGCCATAGCGTACCGTGCCCTATCATGCCATGACATGCGATGCCATGCCATGCCATGCCATGCTACGCCATAACCTGGCTGTCTGCTACTGTATCAAAAAGAATGCCTCTGCTCTACTGCAGTCTGCTCTCGCTCGCAGCATCACCTACAGTTGACATCTGGCTCTGGCCCAGCGTTCTGGTTAGGTTTGGTTTTATTATATTTTTTAAAAGTGTAACACTTTTTCAAATTTCGTATTGTGAAAGCGGGGACGTGGCCAACGCAGCAAAGGTAGCGGCTCGACGCTACTCACCCCTCTTTTGCCTACAAAAGAGGAACGTGATTTCAGTAGCTCCACCCACGTTCTTCATTTCCAATTTCTAGTTTTACTTTCCTAGTTCTCGTTCATCCTGGCGAAGACACAGTCCCTCCCACGGTTCAAGTCCCCGTCAACTCTTCTTACCGACATTCTTCAACACAACCTCGCGAGTATGGCTCTCGCCAACACTACACTTAATCGAGAGGCGGAAAAGACGACTACCCCGGGTAATACTTCGGAGCACGCGAACGCGCCAGGGGCACCCGACCGCCGCGGAAAACGCCCTGCTGAGGACAATTTCGGCGAGGGCCCCTCAGGAGTCGAAGTTCTGCTCGGGAGCAACTCCCGAGCCCCCTCTGAAGAAGCACGCGCAACAGTGAAACATTCGCGCGTGCCCCCTGCTGACGAGCGCGTGGCTGCCAGGCAGCCGCGCGGTCCGGTCAAGTCAACGGGGGCTGACGCGGACAGCGACGCTGGTCAGCCGGGGCCCACTCTGCAGAAGCGGCAGAAAGCAGCGGCCTCAGCAGAAATCGCCCCAGTCAACCCCCTCGCGTCCCTCACTGCGCAGCAAATGCAGGCGCTGCTCTCGATGTTACAGCAGAACGCGCCGGTTACAATCGCAACTTCATCCGACTACATTTCAACACCTGCAAAAAATGAAAATCAGAAGGAAGTCACCGCCCCTCGCACCAACAAGGCGGCTCGCGTCAACGAGACCACTGCCGCACCACTTCCCGCGCCCGCACCTGCACCGATCGCCGCTCAAGACGACAGCGACGACTCAGAGAACGAAGATGGTGAGGCCCCCAACAACATTACCCGCCGTCGTATTATTGCACCCGCACCCTCCCTCCCACCCCTCCACCCCACACCCGCATCCACCACCTTCATGCGCAAAGGTGTGCGCGATCAGGCGGAGGTCTTTTCTGCCATCCAGGCGCACCTGAAGCACGTCAATTTCAAGCTCCAGCACGGCGACATAGAAAGCGCCCTCACCAACGTCGCGGAAATCGAGACGCTCATCCACAAGCGCTTCGAAGTCCTATTGGTGGCGGACGAGGCGGGGTTCGAAGCTGCCGATCGTTTTCAGCTGTACCAGTCCAAGAGCGTTTTGACCTCATGCTCGTACAAGCTCGCCGTCGCCGATGTGGCGGCTCTCAAACGCGCACGGGCCGGCTACACTCGCGGCAACCGCATGCCCACCCGAGATGGCGACACGGAAGGCAAGGGCATGCCGCCCGCAAGCTGCCACGAACCCCGCTTCAAAGGGGTGTGCTTCCGCTGCGGCCAGCCCGGCCATATGGCGAATGCTTGCCCCATGGGAGGGCGAGGCGCTCAAGGCGCCTCACCCGTGGTGTGAGGAGGCACACGGGGCGGCGCCCCTTGCCACTATGCCGGGGGGCGTAGGTGGGAGCACCGGGGGTGCGTAGTTGGTAGCAAGCATGAGCTAGGGGCTGAAGGCCGTAGAAATTCCTAGCCGGAAGGGCGGATATGGGGGTAGTACGTGCCATGTACCCATGTGTGGAGGCAAGTAATAAAAATTATCTTCTTATTGTTAATTTTTTTTTTTTTTAAATGGGAAAGCAAGAAAGCTGAACCAAGGCAGCCACCCTGCAGCATGAACAGCCCTATGAATCAGAAGGAAAGAGTAAGGAGGACGGAGGAGGAAACCGAGATGGGAAAGAAACCAGGAGAGTACGGGGAGAGAGAGAGAGAGAGAGAGAGAGAGAGAGAGAGAGAGAGAGAGAGAGAGAGAGAGAGAGAGAGAGAGAGAGAGAGAGAGAATGAGAGAATGAGAGAAAGAGAGAGTGAAAGAGAGGGAGAGAGAGAGAGAGGGAGAGAGAGAGAGAGAGAGAGAGAGAGAGAGAGAGAGAGAGAGAGAGAGAGAGAGAGAGAGAGAGGGTGAGGGAGTGAGGCCTCACGGACGAGGAAGCTCGTGATAAAAAAAAAAACAAAAAAAAAAAAAACCAGACCCCCATCCCGGCCAAGAGGCCCGCCTAAGGATGCGCGGCAGCCCGTAGGGAATCGTAAAAAAAAAAAAAAAAAAAAAAAAAAAAACAAAAAAAAAACAAGGATACAAGGAGGGTTGAGCAATACCTTAGGGTACATTCCGCTGTGGACACATGTCCCAATCGATGTGTCCCAATCCCACTTTTTCTGAGTCGCGCTCAAATTTCTCGATCCTGCATGTCCCAATCGATTGATGTATTGCGACTTTGGGCATCATCGCGACAATTATATGCGACCCACTGTGATTGGTCAACTTCCAATCTGGCACGTACCTACACCAACAGCACAAACACCGGCGATCCAGATCCGGGGAAAGGACTTGGTTATGTACGGGAAGGGCGCGGACACTATAGTACATGTCAGCGCTACCAATAATTGCCAACCATGCAAGTACGTTCCCTACTCCTATACTACGCAGACAGTACGTTTAATCGAAGTATGCACGTACTACATAACTACGCTTTCATAATCCACACACCATGGCAGAGCCTAACACCATCCCCTTCATCCTACGCCTCCTCGTTGTCAGTAGATCTGCACTGTGGATGCCCGATGCACTGTGGTTATGGGTGCACTCACCCGCTACTGAAACAAGCCCTTCTATCCCAATGGTCTAGTGACTGGGATTCTGACATGGTGTCAGAGTGGTCTCGGGTTCGAATCCCGGTGTATGCACATGTAGGCCGTTGCCGCTGTGCTCAGTCCTGGGCCTCCCACTGTGGGGGGGTGTCAGTAGATCTGCACTGTGGATGCCCGATTGATCCTACGGGGGGTTACAGGCGCGTTCGCCTGGGGGGTTATGGGCGCACTCTGACCCGCTACTTAACAAGCCCTTTTATCCCAATGGTCTAGTGGTTGGGATTCTGACACTCGTCGCATGGGTCACCTACTACTACACCGTTTTCTACGAAAACGTCGCGAAGTCCTTCGTAGGCATGATAGAGTCGGGAGTGTTCGAGGTCGCTGACGAGCAGTCCTCATCGCTCGGGGACGATTACGGGGAGAACCGCCGTCACAGGGCTAGAGTACGGCGGCGACGTCATGCATTGTTGGTTGAAGACCTGCAGCACATGCGGGAGAACGATTTCCAAGACCTTTTCAGGATAAACCGTGCCATACTTGATCATATCAAAACCGGGATGCAACTCTATCTGGAACCAATAGTGCACCGGTCAATACTCACAATGGACACCGCGGTGCTCATCCCTATCAAGTACCTGGCGTCAGGAATCTCCTACGTCGACATGTCGTACCTGTTCGGCGTCTCCAAGACACTTTGCCACGAGGTTGTCGACGTGTTCCTCACTGAGTTCCCCTCAATCTTCAAGGCCGCCTGGGTGCGCTTCCCCACACGCGAAGAGCTTCCCGAGATGGCACGGGAATTTGCTGCCATCAAAGGTGTACCTGCTGTGGTGGGGGCTGTGGACGGGACTCATATCCACATGAAAGGGATGGAAGGGCACAGAGCGGAGTACTGGACAAGGAAGTCGGCCTATGCCGTACAACTCCAGCTCACGTGTGATGCACGAGGCAGGATATGGGACTACCTGATCGGCTATCCCGGTAGCGCGCACGACATGCGGGTTTTCAAAGAGTCTGCACTACTTGAGAGGTTACACAACGGGGACATAGCCCCATACCAAATTGTCGGGGACGCGGCCTACCCTCTACGAGAGTACTGCCTAACACCCTTGCATGCCCCTCGAGGAGAGGACCTCATGGACGACTGGGCGCAATGTTTCAACTACTGTCAGAGCACCACACGCATGGCGGTGGAGAGGTGCATCGGCGCCTTCAAAGGGAGATGGCGTATCTTCGGCCAGCGCAACGACTGTAGGTTGTGGCGCATTCTCGCTGGG